CCCATGAGAGGCATGGTAATTCGTGGCAATCATGGATGTCTTTACCATGACACAATTGACTGTGGAGCACTGGCTGAATCTGGACAGGAATATGGAACCGGCTGTGACAGAAAAGTGAGAGACGGGCTAGTTTCCAACCTGGTACAATCCTCGCTTTCACGCTCGTGCCTGAAGTGGCACCAGTGGCTGCTTTCGGAGGCCAACCTCCGCCCTGTCCAGGAATGGGTGTCCTGGAGAGTTGATGTGCTGATTGGTTGCTCTCGTCACTTATGTCGGCAACTATGAGAGGAGTTGGGGTTTCAGCAGACAGAGGACCAACAGATCTGTCGAGGGTAGGGGTTGGGGTCCCAGGCAGGTGCAAGCAGCAATGCATGTACTCATGCAAGCTCGCTGATGCTGGAGTGGTCTCTCTCGCCTTCAGCTGGCGAGGTGGGCGTTAGTGCAGAATCTACTAGCTGTACAGCAGGCCTGGGATCAGCGGCCGCCTCCGTGCCTTCCGGAGGAGTGTGTCGGCTAGAGGCCTCCTCACGGATTTCTGTATCGGCGGCCGTCGGTGCCACATCTTCGCAGTCTGAGGTAGAGCCTGTTGAGCTGCGACGACGGCGATGCTTGCGTCTGGAAGATCTTTTTGTCTTCTTCTTTTTCTTCGCATCCTTCTTTTTCTCCTTTTTCGAAGTCTTCTTGTGCTCCTTCTTGTCCGTAGGTTCTGCTTCGGCCCCTGCCGAGAGGTTCACAGAGGGGCTGCCTCGGGTTGGACTGAAACTTCTCGGCCTTTTGACTCTGGTCACCGCGATGCTGGTACTGGAGTTCGAGTCTGAGGCTTTCGCCCCGTGTGGCGGACCAGCCTGTGGTTCATGACCGTCGCGAACTGATGCGGCTGTGAGGGGCGCTGCCTCGGTAGGTCTATGTGCCAAGGCGTCCTTGATCCATTCCGGCATAGCAGGCAGGGGTCTACGTACTCCGTCCACCTCAACCTGCCATTCAGCTGGGTCCTCCACGCCATCAGTGGCATCTGGTGCAGTGGCTTCTCGTCGGTAGAGGGGGCCAAGCTCCGCCAGTGTTCCATCCACCGAGGGATACACAAGCACGGCTGCTCCATGTTCAGCTGTATGCGGAGTGGAGCCCGAAGAGGGATTGCCACTGACCGCCGTAGTCGTTGCATCCTCAGCCTCAGTGGCTGCGGGAGCGCCTCGGCATTGTCCCTGTTGGGCTGTGTCTCCTCCTGCTGTGGCATGGCGGCCGGGATAGCGACCCTCGATGATGGTGGAGGCTGAGGTCGAATCTTGGGTTTGGGTGGCAAGTGAGGCCTGATGTGCTCCCTCGCCTCGGGAATGCCCACCCCAGCCGACATATAGTTGCCGCATCTAATGGCTCTCTGGGTTCCAACTTGACAACCAATCTGGGCTCCGCCTCTTGTGCATCCAGAGTGGCAGCTGGAGGAAGTGGAGGTGGAGTCTCAGGGATCATCTCCTCTGGACTGGTTTGAGCCGGTTCTCCCGAACCTGACGGCGTGGCAGGCTGTGGAATCGCAGAGGTTGTCGCTCCCTCCGCTTCAACCTCCACTTCAACCTCTTCCTCTTCGCCGGCATCATGTACCGGGGGCGGGTATGGCGGTTCTCGAGGGCTCAGTGGTTCAGAAGAAGATGCACGACGGGAGAATAGTGTCAAAGGCGGCCTGGCTCGCTGTCCCACACCGGAAAATCCAGGAGGTGGAGTGGTCGGAGAGGGAGGGCGGCTAGAGCCACCCTTGCCCTTTCCCTGGAGCGCACCGTTCCTCTTGCCTTTGACGCCTTTGTGACTCCCTTTTCGGCTTGCAGATCCTTTAGCTCCCGGACTTTCGTGCTGTTGTCGAAGAAGCTCTCGGGTCCGTTTATCGGGACGTGCAGCCTCCCGGCGATAGTCACGCTCTGTCTTTTCTCTGACCATTGCTGCAGTTAAGGACAGTGATAGCTTCTGCTGGAAGGCCGAGGGGGTGGTGGAGCGGAGATTGGCCGATTTGGGCTGAGGAGATGTAGTGGCAATGTTCTCACAGTGGGAGCTGTCTCTAGTGCACCTATCACAAAGCGATGTACCCCTTGGGCTTCTAGGCTGATCCTGCTTCCTGCAAGCCCCTTGCTCTGCAAGAGCACGATGCATGTAACAAGAAATTCCGGGGCTATGCATAGGTGGTGCAAGCACTGGCCAAAAGGCGTACGAGAGCAGAGGTAGGGCTTTACACTGCAGATGCGTGGCAGCTGTGCTGAAACTCAGTCCTGACTGTCTGCAGCAGCCGGGCAGGAGACGGGCACACACCTGAGGGCATGAAACAGTCGGAGGGGAACCTCCCGATGCCCGAACTCGTGCAGAGTCTGCTGATACATGATGCAAGATGCCGGCTGGGATTGAGGCAGTCTGGGGTGGATGGGGTCTATCTAGACTGCGCAGCTCACTGACCGAGAGCACCCTTACTGGTCGTGAAGAGCAGCTGCTACCGGGTGGGGTCAAGCTGAATGCGCACCTGTTGGTAAACTGTAAGCTCCCCTTGAGGCCTGGGCACGCTCCCTTGGTCAGATGACCTGAGTGATCAGAGGGGGCAGGCATATGAAGAACATGTTGACGGCAGGACGGTGCATGGGCATATCTTTGCGCTGCAGTGATCAGCTGATTGCAACTCTGCAGAAATTCGTGAGGCAGTCGTGCAGAGAGGGTCCTTTCAGATCCAAGCACACACATCTCGATATGGGCCTCATCACACCGATTACGGAGTGCCTGGGGGCGGGGGCAGAGGTGGTGCCTTGCTACTGGTCGATGCCTTCGAGAAGACCGGTGCTGGCAGCAACGGTGGAGCGATGATCGCGAAGGGAGTCGTTGCCGATGAAGGCACTGCCATGGACGAGGCTGGCATAGCCGTTGCCGTTGTCGAGCCCATGGTGGAGCCCAATGCCGCCGACGACAATCGTAAGGTCCAACTTCCCTGGAGATGAATTTCCAAGGTCTGTGGCTGAGGCCCTTGCTCATAGCGCAATTGATCCATCGGGGTGGGGAAGACCATAGCCGATGTCGGTGTCGAGGGGGCAAGAGGAGAATGATGTGCTCCAAGTGCTCCAAGTGCCGGGCCGGGAGAAGCGATGGTAGGGAGTCCGTCATGTCCACCGTTTCCTCCTTCCGAGATGAGGCCTGCAGCCTTCGGCTCCATCGGTCTTGCTGGCGATGGCGGAGGAGGTTCAGCGGGTTTAAAGGGGGGGGGGGGGGGCCCCCACTTTTGGCTTTTGGCCTGGGTGGAGGCCCCCACGCCCCTTCTTCTGAGGATGATTCCAGCATCGAAAGTCCTGACGGAGAGGGACTGGAGAGCGGGTCTCTGCCACTAGTCGTCGATACTGGCGCATCAGCGGTCCTCGCCCCTTCCGAGGGCATGCCTCCTCTGCTTCGTGTGCGAGCCCGCGCCATGGTTGTAGTTGATGCCTTAGCCTTTGTCTTGGGGGTTCGCTTGGCCGACATGCCGCCACTACCTCAAGTCTACAAGATGGCCGATAATGGCTCTCTACTGAGCACTGCTGTGAGCCGCTGCTTGCCCAGACCCGGCTACTG